AAAGAACAAGGCACCAGGAATTGATGGAATAAAAATTGAAATCTTTCAAGAAAGTGAGGCGGCACAAGAGGCACTCACTCATCTCTGCTAAGAAATTTGGTAGACAACTATCTGGCCGACTGACTGGAAGAGATCCATATTTGTGCCCATTCCAAAGAGAGGCGGACCCAATGGAATGCGGAAATCATCTGACAATCTCTTGGATATCTCAAGTGAGTAAAGTTTTGCTAAAAGTAATACAGAAACGGCTATAATCATACATTGACAGAATTTCCAGCCAGAGAGAGTTTCAAGCTGGATTCAAAAGAGGCTGTGGAACAAGAGATATCATTGCTGATGTCCAGTGGACCTTGGCTGAAAGCAGAGAATATCAGAAAGATGTTTACCTGTGCTTTACTGACTACGCAAAGGCTTTCGATCGTGTACATCACGACAAGCTATGGACAACATTGAGAAGTATGAGTATTCCAGAACACTTAATTGTACTTCTGAGAAATCTGTACCTGGACCAAGAAGCAGTTGTTCTAACAGAGCATGGGAACACTGAATGGTTTAAAACTGGGAAGATGTGCGACAAGGTTGTGTTCTTTCACCATACTTATTGAACCTATAATCTGAGCAAATAATCCGAGAGGCTGGGTTCTATGAAGAAAAACGTGGCGTCAGGATTGCAGGAAGACACATTAACAACCTGCAATATGCAGATGTTACTTGCTTAAAGTGAAGAGGACTTGAAACATTTACCGATGAAGATCAAAGAGCACAGCCTTTGGTATGGATTGCCTCTCAATGTCAAGAAAACAAAACTCCTCACCACTGGATCAATAAACAACATTCTTATCAACGAATAAAAGATTCAAGTTGTCAAGGACGTCACTCTTCTTGGATCAACTATCAACATTTGTGTAAGCAGCAGTCAAGAGATCAAATGACGTATTGCACTGGATAAATCTGCTGCACAGGAAATTTTTAAAGTGTTGAAGAGCAAAGATGTCACCTTGAGGACTAAGGTGCACCTAACCCAAGCCATGGTATTTTCAATAACCTCATATGGATGCAAAAGCTAGATAGTGAATAAGGAAGATCGTAGAATTGATGTCTTTGGACTGTGGTGTTTTGGAAGAAGTGCAGCCAGAGTGCTCCTTGGAGGCCAAGATGGCTAAACTTCGTCTCTCATACTTTGGATATTATCAGGAGGGAACAGTTGGTGGAGATGGATGTCACGCTGGGTAAGATGGAGGGTCACAGAAAAAGAGAAAGACCCCCAATGAGATTGGCCAGGTGGCATCATTGATGGCGTCAAGTGTGGCAGCTGTAGTGAGGTTGGCCCAGGATTGGACATTGTTTTGTTCTGTTATGCCTGGGGTCGCTATGAGTTGGTTCTGACTCGATGGCACCTGACAACAACAACTACAAAGTTCCAGAACACATAGGATTGTCTTCCTTGTATAAAAAACAGTGGCTGCCACTGTCTGGTTTACCTATGAGATACCTTGTTGTTAGGTGCCATCGAGTCGTTGCTCAAGACCCTTCCAACCACTTCCCTCCACTGCCCTGTGAACGCCCGCCCCCCGTCCCCCCATGCCTGGACATTGTATACACTGCTGCTCTTCCCTCCTCCCCTACCTGACAGGCACCTCTTTTTAAGTTCTAGTTCCAAGTTCTATAGGGCGCCAGAATTTTCCTGCTGTCACACAAAACTATCACAGCATGGGCACTCCCAGAGAGCGGAGGCTTGGGCTTGGCCAAGCAGTTAGATGCCCAGTGCTTGCACTTGGCAGAACCTCACTACAGGAAAGAAGAGGCATGTGCCACTGTAACACTTCCAGGGTCTTGAGTTCTCATGACAACTGCCCCACCATCATAGGACATCATAACAAACCCAGAGCTAGCACTCTGGCTGCTGCCTGCCTCCCGAGGTTACCACCCTCCATTCTAAAGGCTTCCTCGCTGTACCTGCTGTTTTAAGTGCCCAGCCTTCTTCCAGCCTAACTCAATTCTTCCTAAGACTCGGGAGTCTGGGAAGGTAAGAGGGACCAGCAATTGGCAGGGACTGATGTACTCTCATTCCTGCCACCAAGATCCCTGGTGCAGCCTCATCACATCATCATGCCTGGCTTTGCCTTCTGAGACTCAGCTGCTAGCCTCCAAACCTCCTTTTTGGGAAGCTTCAGGCTTCTACTTCACTGCTGGCATGCAGAAGACCCTCACCTGACATTCTTCTCAGGTTCCCCGGAACCTGGCTGCCTTGGGCCTCCTAGCACCCCTTGGGTCTGTGAGAATCCTGGCTTTCAATTGGTCAGATTCAGCTCTGGCCCTGGGCTGCCCCTCCTAGAGCATGGGTATTTGTCTGAGCCTGGTCAGGGGCTAGATCACCTGGAACTCAGACCCCAGTGTCTCTACACCCTCCAGGGCTGGACTGCTCCCTTCTCCTGCAGGAAGAAAGCAGAGGCCCCTGGAGAGGGTTTAGGGACTTGGGTGGGCCAGTAGGAGCTGCTCTGGGAGGGTCAGGAAGCAGCAACTTGGGTTCCCATTGCCAGCTAAGAGTTGTGGATTTCCTAGCTTCCCACAAACGGATCCGTATTTGCTCTCCTGTGAGGGGGGACACCTCTCTGGGTTCCTTACCCCTGGGGTCAACATTCTTGTGGAGGAGCCCCGCAGACGACAGACGAGACTAGTGCTGGAGCCAAATAGGCTTTAATGGCATTAACAGCCCATCCAAGAGGTCACACATCAGTTCTTCCAGGGGCGAGAGGTGGCTGGGTCGAGCCTCTGAGCACGCCCCACTCCCTTGCCTGCCTCCCCACTGAAAAAAACATATCATTGCACTGACTGACACACAAACCACCCAGCCCAGCCTCCCCAGCACACCCTGGGTTCTGTTCAGAGGTGGATTATGGGCTTTGGCATCTGCTCGGTGGTGGTTCAGGACTGGTCCGGGGAGTAGTGTGTGTATCAAAGATTACAAAGGTTCTTTTATAAACCAGGATCTGGAAGATTGGTTTCTGTGGTTCTAAGAGACGCTTGTCTCGAATGGCTTCTCTTGGTGTCACAGCAAGTTGGGCCTGGATAACGCTGTATTGGTTGGTCTGCTTCTTTGTAAGGAATGTGTAAGGCATTTTGGTAAGTGTGAAACAGTAACTTTTTTTCTACAGAGAAGACTCAGACCGAAGTGCCCTCCTTTGAGCTGCTACCGTCCTGTTAACAGAAAAGGACACAGTGAGACAGAGACTGGGCCAGTGAACAACGAGAGCCACTTACCCCAAACCCAGACTGGTGACTCTTTACACTGGGGGGAGGGAGAGAGGCTCTAATCAATATCCCTCAATCTCCCTTTACTGGATTAGGACCTCCAAACCACTGCAGTCTCTTCACGGAGCTCAGCCCAGGGGCTGGAGGAGGGGCCTTGAGCAGGCTGTGGGGGTCACGGGTCCTCTTCCCACTAAGAAAGGCAGCGCTATGAGGGATGCCCCGCCTCCTGTCCAGGTCATCCCACCGCCCTGTGCTGTGTGTGCGAGGGCTCTGTGGGGTGGCAACCCTGGCTGGTGACACTCACTGCTCTGTCCACCTGCTCCTGCAGCTTCTTCACCGTGTCCTTCTCCTTGCTCAGCTGCTCCTGGCTCGTCTTCAGGAGCTCCTGCAACTTACTGGCTGCACGCCCCAGGTCACTGGTGAGCTTCTTCTCTTTCTCGAGTCTTTCCTGTGGCCAGAGAGTGGAAGGGGATCCGCCTGAGGCTGACCCCATCTCTGCAGGGGCCACAGGACAGGAGGGAGGGAGGGCGGCCTTTACAATTTTCCTTTGTGTCCCAAACAGGAGCTACCAGACACATGGCTACTTAACACTTGAAATTTGGTGAGTGTGGCTGGAGAACTAAAAACTTCATCATGTTCAATTTTAATCACCACATTTGCCTAGTGACAGCTATGCCCCCCACCCCTAAGGACTCCACCTATGGGAGGAGCCTCAAGACAAGCTCCTCACCTGGAAGCTGGTGTCCAGGAGGGCCCACAGCTCCCTGTATGACTCTCTGGGGCAAACCCAGCCTCTTGGGCAACCCCCATCTCACCTTCAGCTGTGTGGCCTCCTGTGCATCTGAAGACCCCAGGGAACTAGCAACGCGGAGTTTCTCCAACTCTTCCTGTAGTCGACATGCAGCCCTCTGAGCCTTGTCAGAGAGAAGGGGTGAGGAAGAAAGAGGTGAGGGGCGTGGAGTCTAGGGAGGGGCACCTCACAACCTGCAAGCCATGGGACACGGAAGAGAACACACACCCCTTCTCCCCTCACACCACCCCCCCCTTGGGTCCCTGGGAGCCTGACCTCCTCAAACTCGGTACTGAGCTGCTGCCGCTGTGTCTGCTCGCTGTCCAGGATGGCCTCTGTCCGCTCCAACTGTGCTTTTAGCTGTGTAGAAACAACATGGGAACCGGCTTGAAGGGGGCCCTCTTGTAGCCCAGGGCTCGGGCTGGCTGAGACCTGAGCCTGCCCTTCCTGCTTCTTTTGGCTGCCCTCTGGGTCGATGGAGCCTTAGCCCCTGGGGAAAGGTGCTGCCTTTCACCCCCAAAGGGCTATGATAGGTGGCTGGAGGCCTCCACCTATCAAGAGTGTCCCTGGAACAAAGGCCATCGATAGCTGCCCACAGGCCAAGTCCCCTTCCCTTTGCTGCAGAGGGCTAGCCCCCAACCTGCTCTTTCTGTGAACTTGGCCAAAGTTGCGCAGAGCCAGTGATTAGTAAGAAGGGAGGTCCTGAGCCTGCATCGCAATGGGGGGAGGGGGAGGCCAGCCCAACAGATGGTTAGTGACAGACATCTGGGTCAGCTCGATAGGGTCCTGATCAGCTGGGTGGGCAGCCAGGGACCCTGCTACTTCACCATCCTCTACATGGCTCTGCATCTCACTCAACTGCTGCCTGACCTGAAACAGGGAAGGTGGGTTTGTGCAAAGACATGGCTGGTGACGTCCACCCACCTCGCAGCACAGGACCCTGCTTGGGACGGTTTCTGCTGCCCACATGAGGGGCCCTGAGGGGGCCTGGCTTGGTAGTTGTGACCTATGTCCCTGATCCCACCCACCATGCAGGGTCACTGGGGCAGCGTCGAGTGCCCCCATTCAAGTGTGCTTACCAGGGCAAGCTCATCACTTTGCTTCTGGGCTTCACTCTTGGCCGTGTCCAGATGAGACTGAGATTCTACTAAGAGTTGCTTCAACTGGGAAGAAAAGAGAGCCCAGTGGAAGGGAAAAGAGAACCGAGAAAGCCAGTTAACTGGAGTCAGCATCCACATGTAGTCAGTCTATGCATCGGCCCCATCAAGGGCCCGAAAACTACGCCAGAGACAGGGTCAAGAGGGGGCGTTTGTCTTCAAGCTGGGCTGTCTTTATGAAGGCCTGGGATGGGTACAGCCACTGCAACCTCCATTCGGCCCCACATAAATGTTTTAATTGTCTCTTGCAAAACAAGTCTAAAAGCCTGAGATTAAATCAGTATTGTCGGCTTCAGGTTTGTGCTTTTCTGCTTCAAAAGGGTAAAGCCATGTGCTGCCCTAGATGCAGTGTTACCGAGCCAGGGGAGTATCCGGCTGAGGAGGATGTGGAGTGTCTCTGTTTAGGACGCCCCTTTTGAGGTCATGGCCTCAGGTCCACCAGCCCCAGGCTAGGGCTCACTAGGATGGGTGGGGACACAAGCCCTGGAGAAGCACACTCACCCCAGCCACCTCCTTGGCATAGTTCTGACACTCGGCACTGGCTGCTGCCATGTGCTTCTCCAGTTCTGCCTCCAAATTCGAGGTGTGCTCCCGAACCTAGAGAGACGTGCAAACCCATGTACAAGCATGTGTGCACACAAAGCACACGTCGGCACCAACTTGACAGGGGCCTCAAGTCTAGCCTGACCCAGAGAGGAGATCCACAAGACATAACTTAATGCAAATGAAGCCCAAGACCCTATGCCCTCAGAACTTAGTGTGGGAGGTATGTGCGGACTGGGATGAAGGGGAGTCCTCCTCTAATGGGCACTAGAACCAGGTCTGGTTCAGGGACTCGAGCCCTGCATGTACCTGGTCAGAACTCTCCAGCTCTCCTCTCAGTCGCTCGATGAGTTCTTCGAGATGCTTCACTGTAACATGGGACTAGAAAGAGAAAGGCCCATGAACACAGATCCTGGAGAGCTACAGTGTCTTTTCCCCAGCCATGCCCACTCTACCCACCACTGGCCACCCCAGCCTCACAGCCTCTTGCTGGGTCTGGGCAAGGGAACCAGCAGGTGATTGGGGGTCTGGCAGAAAGCGTGTGGACCCAGCGGCGGTCTTAGTGATATCTGAATCCTTAGGGTGGAAGATGTGCTTTCTATGCCCCAGTGTACTGTACGTGTTACTGGACTCTTGGGGGAAGTCAGGAAAAGGGTGAGGCCCTGGGTGCTGCGGGCCCTGGTGGCTGCCAGTACCTTCTGCAGTTCGTCCTCCGCGGTGCTCACTTTGGCTTTCCACACTTGCTCCTCCTCTTCAACGCTCTTCTGCAGGTCCTTGAGCATGCGCTCCTGCAGAGGGTTGGGGCACGAGGCGGGCACTGAGAGATGCTGACCTCTTCCCTACCCCCCAGTCCACTCCATCACACCATCTTCTAGCCCTTGCCCTGTCAGCTCTGTGCTGACCCACGGCTGCCAGTTACATGCGACCAGAACAAAGCCATCAGGACTCTCTAACTGCTGGACTTTATCCCCAGATTAAGGTGCTAAGGGAGGTCACAGAACAAGGGTCCCATCCAACCCTCAGCCAGACACTCACACTTTTTAACCAAGTCTCTCCTGGAAACCAGTCCCACACCTTAGTAGCCACCCTTTACCGTACAGTTGAAGGAAACAGACCCAAAGAGGGGGAGACTTGCCCAGAGTCACCGAGAGACACTGCCCTTGGCTACCTGCCACCTTCTGGGTCCTCAATGCCCCCTCCACCCTGCAGCCCTGCTCACCGTCTCTGCCAGGATCGTGCGGTACTGGTCACACTCCGCCTGCAAGGTGCTCTGGGCATCCTCCGCCTCCCGAAGCCTAGAGGCTAGGTCCTGGCACAGGGAAGAGCAGAGTCTTGTTAGTCCAGGTTTCTTCCTGCCTGTTGAAGCAATTCTGGGCAGCCTCCCTGCTCACCGGGGAAGGCTCTGAGGGAGCCGATGGCCGTTTCTGCAGCTCGGAGCCCTTCTCTCGGAGCTCTTGCAGCCACTCTATGTAATTCTGCAATGGAAAGGGTGAAGTAAGGCCTGGAAGCATTGCTTGTGAAGGCCTGAGGTCCACGTGGTGAGGGAGTCCTGCTCCCTACCTGGTGCGATGTGGTGGCAAGCTCAGGCAGGAGCAACTGCAGCGTCTCCCTGGTGTGCATCTCAGTCAAGCGGAGCTGCTGTTCCGACTCCTCCTGTGGAAGGAGACAGGACACTCAGCACGACGTGGAGTAACAGCTGGGGTGCGTGGCGAGGACAACCCCAGGGGTGTGTATTTGAAAACCCATGTCTCCTTCCTCAGCGTTTCCAAGACAGGAGGAGTCAAAGAAGGAGACAAGCTGAGGAGCTCACGGGTAGAATGGGTTGGGGGTGTTTCATAGCTTGTGCTAGGCCCCTAACAGACCAAGCTCTAAATGGGTAACACGGCAGTCCTGATGACAGGGATGTCTGTCTGCTCAGCTGCTCATCTGTCAAGTTGCATGTGTGACGGAGAAGGGGAGGTGCGGCGATCAGCCACTGAACAGAAATGGGGTGGGAAGGAGGCGGGGCAGTCAGCAGGCCCCCAGATCAGGAAAAGGAGAGTTTAAGTTGTGGGGTGGTTGTAAGGCCGGAGAAGAGGCCATCCCTCTCAGAGCTCCCTTCTCACACAGGAAGGGAGGAAAAAACAACATGCCCGCTCTGCAGGTGAAATTGGCTCTGGGGTCTGGGGATCATCCATGCCACTGGAGCTCAGATCCTGGAGGGTTGGCTGTTTCGGCCCAATGCAAACACAAGCCAAAGAATGACTGAGTGAAGTAGCCGGCAGAGCCCCCGCCCTACAGGGAGCTCCGGCTGTAGGCTTTACCAAACTTGCTTATCTCCAGCAAGTGGACCTGCTGCCAGTCATGACCATGAGTCGATGAGCTGTGACTAGGAATTCTAACCGGGACTGCTGGGGTTGACAGAGTGTTCTGGGCAGTGTGCTACAAAGATCACCCTGCACGGGCTGCATCTGTGAAGGGCCCTACCGTGCCTGGTAGTTCAGATGGTGCCCAGGGACCCCGTGACCTTAAAGGCCAGATCATCCCTGAGGTCACTCCTAGCTCATAGCTACAAGCACCCCCATCCGTCTCATCTTGGGCTCTGTATCTGATGAGGTCGCCTCACTTCCTGAAGGCATTCAAGAAGATCACAGCATGGTTCATGGCTTGGGAACACAGACATCCTGCAAGAGATGGACCTAGAGGGATGGACCTGGCTGTGAGGAACATTCCACGAGGAATGCGGACATGCTACCTGCTCAGGTGGGGCTCTTGAAGCTGCTGTTACTCAGCCTGGAGCAGTGCTTTCCAGAGGGTTCTACCACCTGGGGCTCTCCTGTACCTCAGCACTAGCCCCTACCGAGGCCTCACACCTTGGACTCACTGCAAAACATTCTCCTTCTGTGACATATTAAAGACGAATCACAGAATCCACAGGGCCAGCCAGCAAAGCTCCACCGGCTGTGCCCAACCCTGCCCCCTGGTGGCAGAGGCTAGGGGCACAAGTGCCATCCAGTGTGCAGTCTTTTTCATCTTTAGGCAAAGTAGATGGAAAGGAAGGAGGGAGGGAAGAAGTAGATGGAGGGAGGGGGACCCAGGCCCCCAGGTCTTCAGGTCTGGAATATAGGAGCAGGTATGTCTGAAGACAGACCTTGGCCAGGGTCAGCGAGCGCAGCTTCTCCTCACAGGTCCTCTCAGAAGCAGCCAGCGCCTCCATAGCCTTCCAGTTCTTTTCTCGGAGGTCCTGAGTTGGGGAGGGAGAGGAAAGGGGACATAGCAAGAAGCATCAGCACCTAAGGGATCATCAAGGACATGGTCCCACAAGCTGCCCTTCACTAGGCACATGCCCAATCCATTCTAAACCCGAAATCAAACCTGCTAAGGGACAAAATGTCCCCTCCCTGCTCCCCCTCCCCCTGCAATCGGCTCACGGCCTCTTAGGCAGCACATCCCACCAGGTCAGGGTGGCCCAATATGAGGTGGTCAGGACACACAGTGTGCAGAGGCCAGCTCCTCAGAGACACTGCTGGGTGAGGAAGGAAAACAGCCACAGCCCTGCCAGGCCACCAGAGCCAGGCTCACTGATAAAAACAGCCGAGGCAGGTTTCAGAGAAACCTTTTGGGTTATTTCAGGAAAACCAACTCCTCCTGGGCCTAGCCTCTGCCGAGTCCCTCCCGCAAAGGCCCTCTGCAGCAGTGTCCACACCGCCCCACCCCACCCCCGCACTGGACACTCACGTTGTTCTTCACCTTCTGCTGTTCAACAGCTTGATTGAGCTCGGTTGCCTCCTTCTCCAGAGATGACACTTTGGACTCCAGCTCATGGAGGCTGAAGGAAAAGTAGGTTCACTGCCCTGGTTCTGAGGCACTGCAGCTCCCACAGTTCTATCCCAACCCAGCAAGAGTCCCCCATGCAGAAGGAGCAGCACCCCAAGACTACCTCCACCAGGACCTACTGTCCAAGTCCACCTGGGGTGCACAAGCCACGCGAGCCAGCTCACCCCAGTGCTCTCTCCCCGCTCAGTCTAGAGCCCCAGGGCCCAGTCTACAGAACCCAATTCCCACCGGCTGCTGGGACAGGAGAGGTGGGTCCTGGGCGGCTCTTTCTTCCCAAGCACTGAGCATGCGCCTGCCCTGCCATCACAGGCCATGTGGCCGGCCTGTCTCCACAGCTGTGCTGACCCTCAGAAGGCTTCCCAGGCTAAGACGCATCACAGCACTGCTGTCCATACACCAGCGAGACCCTCAGCCCAAATCCACTCTTCTAAGACCCACGGGTTCTCCCTCCGTCTGTCCCTGGGCTGTGTGGGATCACCAGAAGTGAACCCAGCCTCTCGAGAGATCCTAGTCTTTGCTGCTTCCTTCAGGTCCAAGGAGCCAGTGGGTTGGGTCCACCTCTGTCCAGAAAGGGAAGGGGAGGGGTTAGAACTAACTAGCTCTAGTAGGGAACAAGCTTTCAGTGGACACTTCAATAGGTCACCTTCTGTATGTCACATTTAGAACACATGGGAAAGGTCCCAGGGACACATGAAACCTAAAGTCCAGAACTGGCCAATGCTGACCTGAGTCAAAGCAACTAGAGCCATTCTAAAGTGAGGGATAAAAATCCTTGCCCCAGAGGCAGGTTGCTCTGTGGGGGTGGGAGTAGAGGTGGGGAAGTACAGGGCTCTGTTCACCTTGCCAGGCAGCCAGCCCATACACCCCCACCCCGCCTCATCCATGTGCCCAACATCCTTTTAAAGTGCAGGTGGTGATACATCAGTGGGCCAGGAAATCAGTTAAGTGGAGTACCAGCACTTCCCATAAGCAAAAAATAATGGAAACCACAGGAGCAGGAAGTAAAGACTCTTTGATCTGTCCTTGTACATCTTACTGTGAGCCGCAGTCTAAGCTTTGTAGAAAGCTCCATTCTAAGCTCACTGACACTGCCTATGGCCACAATATAGCCTCACAAATCTTACCCTAAATGCAACTTGCATTTAGCCTTGAAGACAGTTGTTGCTTTCAGGCCCATATATGTTGCCGCCACAAAGCCCTACCTCATAACTTTCTCTCAAACCCTTCCAATATGAAACAACTCGCTTTCGGCCAGCAACCCCTATATTGAGAAAGAAGAAAGCCAAGCAAGCCAAGGCCGGGACCCGATTCCAAATGTCTGGGACCAGTTTACAAATTCCGAAGTAGAGGGATGACTTGTTTGGATAAGAAACAAAAACAAATTTACTCCAGACACATAAGCATAAAGCAAAAAAGCAAACCTGTGCTGCTCCCCATGAAACTCAATGATTCCAGTAACTTACTTTGTGGTCCAAGATCTCATCTTTAAAATTCGAGAGCAGAAACCCAAACCCCCAGCTACCACCCATAGAAACGCAGTCAGTCTAAGCTTTCCGGAGAACATTGAGCTAGAGAAGTCAGGCAGAGGGGCTGGGTCTTCCATGAGGCTCCTGGCCAGCCCACAACACAGGGCCAGAGACCACAGGACTGCGGTAGAAGGCCGCGCTGGAGCAGCAGAGTTGGTGATTCACTGGCTGGGGCAGCCAGAACGAGTCATCTGTGCAGGGTTGAGAGCCCACCATGCTCACCTTCTTCCTGGGCTGACTCGATGGACCCTCGGCCCTATGGGCACCTGCTCTAGGTAATGGCCCCAAGGACTCTAGCCAGACTTGTGGTCCCCACCCAGGTGTTGGCCCTGGCTCAGCCATACAGACAGTCCCGGACCACACCCACCTGGGGTCTGATGATCCCAAGGGGATGTGGGGAGTCTGGTCACAGGACAATTACCTCATGGGTACAGAAATACAACCCTGCCATCATGGCTCTAAATCACACCAATGTCCCAGCTCCTCTGTCCAATCCAAGAAAAAGTCTAGGCTACATCTCAAGTCTTCCATGCTGAGCTCTGTAACCACCTTTTCTGATTACTTTACTGACCTCAGTCCCTAAAACTCCTAGTCCTACCTGTAAGCACACAAAGAACGTTCTGACCTGCCAAAGCTTCCCCATCCAGAGACGGTGGGTGGCAGCCCCTCACCACCCTGCCCACAGATGGGTCCTGGCTGTCCGTCCTCCCACCAGGCCATTTCTTCTCTCTCAAATCACTGGAGGCAGGGAGACAGAAGGGGCCTCTAACACAGACCCTTCCAGCTGAGGGGAACCGACACCCACTAACAGTCCTGCCTCCCCAGCTTACCGGGCATGCTGCTGGTCGGCCTCTGCTCGGCTGGCCTGAAACACAAACACACAGCTCATTCACTCTTCACCCTGCACTCGGTACACAGCAGGTGAAGGGCAGACAGAGAAGGCCTGGCTGACCTGACTGTCGCGGGCTTGGCTGGCCTCCAGTAGGGCCTCGATGGACCGGATCCTCTTGGTGAGCTGTGCATTCTCAGCCCTGGCCTCTGTAAGCTGACCCTGGAGGCCACCCAGCTCCTCACACTTGCTCTTCACCTCTGCTTCCGAGGACTGCAGCTTGCTGTGCATCTCTATCACAGGAGGACGGGGGAGGGAGAGGGGTCAGCCTGCACAAGCCGCACTGTGCGTGCCTATGTGCTGGGGCTGAGACACAGCTGACTGGGGGTGTTGCCCCTCGGGCTCCATGCTCCACGACCCACTGGGGAAGAATGAAATGTCCTCTAACCCCATGGAGAACCAGACTAGACCAGAGACTGGCTCACAGTGGGGACCAGGGCAGGTGATGGCCAAATAGGCTGGCTCTACCTTCCCTGTCTGGTTCCTGCTCCTCTCCCCAGCCTTGTAGTGTCCATGGCCCCTTCCCTGTCTCCTCTCTGGTGTCCTTCTCCCAGGAGACCCCCATGTGTCTATGGCTCGGCAGCCTGCCTGCTTCTCTCCCTCCCTTCCAGTGACATGAATGAAGCAGCTTAGCCGGTGCTACTGAGTGTCCAGGCCCTCACCCTGCTTGCCTTCTCTGCCCTCACCACCAGGAAGGTCTTCTGGCTTCACATCCTGCCTATCTGGTAGTCACCTGGGCCAACCCCCATCATACCTTTGGCCTGGACAAGGGCTTCCTCCCTATCTCTTGGGTCTCCTACTCCTACAGTTCCCTCTACCCAGCACCAGTGTCCAAAGTGACAATGAGATGGCCTCATTCACTGCCCCAAGCCCTCCTGGCCCACTCACACCTACCCAGGCCTGTCTAGCTGACCCTACATTCTCACCACCTAACTCTTATGCAGATACCCCAAGTTCATCCCATCATGGAGCCCTGCACTGACTACCCCTCCTCCCCTGGTCCCTGCAGGATCTTAGCTTAGACTCCCTTCTAGCCCATCACTTAAAGGCCCACCTGGCCCATAGCCTGATTCTGCAAACTGAGCTTTACCAGAATAAAGCCAGGCCCACCCAGCCGCTCCAGGCTGGCTGTGGCTGCTTTTCAGCTACAGTGGCTGAGGAAGGGCAGCTGTGCAGAGATCGTGTGGCCCACCAAGCCCAAAAACATACCGTCTGGCTCTGCACACAGATAGCTGCCAACCCTGCTGAGCCCTGAATGACACTGCTATCACAGATCCATTTATCAGACCATGCCAGTATCCCTCTCCAGAGGGCTTCCCCGCTGAAACCTGTGAGTCCCTGGCGCCCAGGACCATGCTCCGCACATGACAGTCAGGAGACAGGTGCCCACCGGACGTGGAGTTGTCCCAGGCCCCCTCTTCCCACCTTGAAGCAAATGCACACAGGAGGACTACAGCACATGAATTCTTAAGCCGACTGAGACAGGAGGACCAGGGCGGTCCCAAGCAGCCAGTGATGGTCCCAACCCCACAGGCTCGGGGGCTTGGACGTGGTGCTTTCTGCTCCTCCACACCTCCTCCTCACTGATCAGGGTTGGCCCACTACACAGGTCCTGCGGACAGGGAGGGGCCTGGAGGGAGGCACCGAGAAGCATGCCCTCACCTGCCACCTTCTGCTGCTGCTCCTGGACCTTCTCCACATCTGCCTGGAGGCTGGCGTGGCTGCTCTGGGAGCGGCAGAGCTCCCGGCTGACCTCATCCAGGCGCTTCTGCAAGGTCTCCTCGCTGTCCTTGTGTGAGGCCTGGAGGGAGAGGGAGGAGCTATGAGGACAGATGGACAGGACAGGCTAGCGGAGGCTCCCCGCATGGCCATCCTCCGTCCAGGAGAGTCATGATCTCTCATCTGCTCAAGAAAGGACATCCTCCTGTCATAGTCAAGAGTCAGGAACTTCACCCAGTCACAACCTTTGCAATGAGTGAAGGTGGTAGCTAGGGATCCGCACTCACCGGTATTCATTTCCCAGTAATATCCTCAACTCCTTTCCCAGGAGGCAGGTTGGCCTGACAGGGGCCTCTTGCCTGTGTGCTACCGTTTATGCACACATGAGTATCACCCATAATTCAGATCATGCCAAATGGATGGCTGACTTGGCTTCTAGTATTACACAGGAGCCCTGATAGTGTAGTGGATTACTCACTGGGCTGTTAAATGCAGGGCCGGTGGTTTGAATCTACCAGCCACTCCACTGGAAAAAGATGAGGCTTTCTTCTCCCGTAGAAATTATAGCCTTAGAAACACTATATATAGAGAGGCACTGTAATTTGAAGAGCACACCACAACAATCACATGAAATTTCTGCCTAGCAGCCATTTTTGACCTACAAACAATAGCAGTTTCATATGCTTTGGCCTACTGCTGTGCTGACCCTGTACCTGCGTTCCAACAGCCTCACGGCCCTGTGGAGGCAGGCACAGTGTCAAGGGGTGGTCCTGGGTCTCAACCACAGCTCCAGTGAGCACTGCCACAAACTCTAACTGGCATTCTTCCCACCAAGTTTACGTAGGAGGATTGTCTGGGACAGGACCAGGTAAAAGACACCACGGAGGCCACCCCTCAGCCCCAGTGACATGCTGAAGTTATCCACACCCCAATTTTTACTCCCATTTAGGCCAACAACTTCTCAAGGAAAACTACAAAAACAGAGGCCTCCACCAGGTCATACAACCTCATGCCTGGTGATCACATCCACACAGGGCCACCATGGCAGAGGTAGGTCTAGGACATCAGAGCCACGTGCCCAAGGGTAGCCTCCCCGGGCTGCACAGTGGAAAACTCTGGGCCACTTGAGAGTGAACAATGCTTTCTGCATCAGAACATGGCAGAGGATCCGTGCACACTTCAAGGGAGGGAGAGACACACTCCGAGGGAGGAAACAGAGACAGAGGAACAGGGAGAACCACTCCAGAGGAGCCTACATCCCCTCCAGCTTGGCAACTCCTGCCCCACCACACACACAGGGACGGAGTAAACGGTGAGGACACTTGCAGCTGGCAACACTACCGACCAGCTGTTCCTTTGTGCCTGTTCCTCTTCCTTTAAGGGGCTCTGCTCAGACTTCAGGGAGTTGATACATGCATCACTCACCCATTCCTGATATAACTGAAAGCACTGGGCCACCAACAAGCAAACCAAAACAACAAAAGCCCACCCACCTCTAGAAGCAAAAACTAGAAAAAGAAGGAAGCTTTATGGGAAGGCGTGTGTGCGCGTCACAGGATAAGGAGGTGACCATTCCCTCACTGGAGGAGTGATGAGCATAAACCAATGACTGTCAACCCCAGAACAGGTGTATGCTGTGTGGGCCAGTCCAACTTTTATAAGATCTTCTAGGTTTCTACACTTCAGTTCCTAACACTGGAAAAACAAAGGCCCATGTCTTTCATGCTTTCAGCATATGCTTCTTTCCAGTGCGCCTGGCCAACCCAGAGACAGTATCACCCTCCCAATGGAAACCTCTGAGAGGACAATGCAAGATACCCCAAGGCCAGCATAGGAGGTGCCCCCACACCCTCCGGCCCCCAAGAACCAGCTCACAGCAAAGAAGCCTCAGTGTAACGAAAGACAGTCCTTCACACACAAAGAGTTTGCCTGTCTTCTAACACAGAGAGATGCTACCTAAAATCTGAATTTCCAAGTCTGACCAGGACATTTCTGGAACGAGACTTCTTAGAGCCACACTGATTGATGTCTTGTGTTGGCCCTGCCCTTAACTCTCAGTGTATACTAGCATGGTCACCCTACAATGCAGGGCTACTATACCACCCCAACATCACATCTTGAGTAACATTCTAGAAGGTGGCAGAGTGGGACCTAAACTGATACCAGAAGTTCTACTGCCAAGGCCAGGAGGGGCGACAGAGCTGCACACCCAACCTCTTCCCCTTCTCAGTCGGCCACTCTGAGTGGAGACTGTTCAGCCCCAAGCTGTGGACCCCTGACAGCCTGAGATAAGCAGGAGTGGCTCACTGGTGATGGGGCCAGGCCTCTATTTCCAACAGTCCCTTCTCAGATGACCCCACAGTATGAGGGCCGCAGTCTGGAGCCTGGAGCCCAGAGTATCAGCCCCGGCATGTCAGCCAGGCTACCTACCCCAGGAGCTCTGGGAGAGCCTATTTCACCACGACAAACCCCACCCCATCAGTTCTGACATTTCTTTTCAGTCCCCTGTACACACCCAAAATCAATGTCATCATATTGTGTTTGTCTCTCTCATCCTTTCCATGAGCGAGCCCCAGTGACCCCACACACTTACAGCCTGGCCTTGATGTCAAGCAGAAAAAGGGTAAAAGTCCCTCTGGTAGCCTGGCTTTCTTGTCACTCAGAAAAGCACGACAGTCCCTTACAGCCCAGCCAGCCTGCCTGACACAGGTCAGCTTGGGAAATGCAAATTCGTGAGGCCAGTGGTGGAAACAGGCCTGATGTTGTCTAGTGCCCTGTGAGGGGGATGTGACAGACCCCCATGCAAGAGTAAGAGCCCTGCACTTGCAGCCTTTGAGCTTCCGGCTGCTGTGATGGCTGCAGCATCCCCTGTACTGGGAGGAGTGTGGGAGGAAGAGAGCAGCTCTGGAGCTAACCCTGCCTGCTGTATAAACAGGGATAGCAGCATAACTTCTCTGTGCCTCCAGCTGCCTTCTGGGTAAATGAGAGGACATGACAGTGCCTAACCCACAGGGAAACAATGAGACTTCACTGAGGAGAAAGGCGCATTACCTTTAGTGACATCCGGTATAAACGAGGTCAATGCTGAAGGTACAAGGCCAGCCCTACCTTCATTCCGAGTCTTCCCAGTCATGGCTGAGAAGGGATGGACTGGTGGCCAGGCACAGGGCCACCAAGGTGGTCATCCTTGACTCACCTGCAGCTGCAGAATCTGCTTCTCAAAGGCAGTTGCCTTGGCTTCCAAAGTCTTCCGCTGTTGCTCTTCCTGGCGTGCGGCTTCAGATTTTTCCACCAGCTCCTTGCTGACCTTGCTGAGCTCCTGCCGGAGTTTGGCCAACTCTGCATTCTGCCTGCAAGACAGTCACCAGACCCAAGTGACGGATGGAAGAGAACTCGTGTCAGCTCAGGCCAGCCTGCAGACCTGCCTCTGGGCCAGGCCAGTGCTCTAAGCCCTTTCCCTAGGAAGTCCACCTTCACAAACAGATGCCCCAGTCAAAGAGGCATTCCCAACACCACTATGTGGGCCTGTGTGTGTGTTGCTAGAATCATCACATCTCTAGCCTAGAACATGCACCAGACCAAGTAAACGAGCCCTGGAGAGGCCCACGCCTCCTCAGAACATCAGTGCTGATCCAGGGACACTAAACAGGTCCAGGTCCTGTAGACAGATGGGGAGCCCAGAGGACTCTCTGCCTTCTTCTCTGAACAACACAGGGCCTGGGGCTAGGCCGCTCAAAGCAGGACTCTGGGGCACTCTGGAGATAGACCCTTCAATGCTGTGCTCCAGAAGCTAGAGAAAGCATGTCCACTGAAGCAAGAGATGGGCCACTCAACACCTGCCTCCTGGAGTGATGGCTTCTGGCATCACAGTGAAGGAGCCAGACCAGGGGAAAGGCGACAGGACTGCCTACCACACTGGACAGCCATGCCGGCCGAGCTGGAAAGCATAGGCCCTGGCGGCTATGCATGGCGGGCTGGGATGTGCAGAACCCTGCCACCTCCTCTTTGGACTTTTGTGTCCTCATCTGTGTCTCAGGGAAGGTACACTGAAGTCCTTGAGCTCAGGTATTTACACTCCAAAAACTCCAGACTGGCGCGTTCACACCATGGCCAGACTCGCAGCAACAGGTGGTGACGATGACGGACTGGGGGCCACTCCTGGACCCACATGGCTCTGCAACCCTGAGAGGGCCCAGAAAAAAATCTGTCCTGCTGCTGAATACTCCCACAGACTGACTGGAGGTCTCCAGTGAGAGGGAATTAGCCCTCAGCCCCACCCACTCCTGCTGCTCCTGGTAGCTGAGGAAAAGAGCAGCCCCAAATCTCAGCCAGCCAATGTGTCAGCACCTGGAAGAGACCCTAGATTTATTTCACATTGGGGAAGACACTGGATAAAACAGGTATGGGGCACAGATGTCCCTGCTCCCTGCTACGGTGGTCCACCCCAATGTCCACTAAAGGACTAGAGGGGAACTAGTACTCTCTGCTTTTCTCACCAAGAGAAGATGCTCCAGGGATAAGGCGGAGCCCCAGAAGTGGTTGCTGCAGGCATTCAGGTCAAGAGAAATCCCAGCACCATGAGTTGGGAGAAACTCAAGTGTTTCCTCCAGAAAAGGAACAGGAAGAAAGCAGAGCTGCCTGTCATTATGGGGTGGAGGGCGGCCTTGGGCTCTCAGTACTTTTGCTTCGAAATAATGCTTACTGCGAGGACACTGCTATCACCTGTATGTGCAGATGCCCCATCCCTTGAAGACAGGAGACCTCCTCATAGCAAGGCAGTGGAGAGTCAAGGCACCAGGCCCAGGACACGTCCCCACACTGTCAACAAGCTCTCATCTTAGACAACTGCACTGTCTCACATCAGGGACATGATGCAAACAGGTCTAGAGGGGACACCCACCCTGGCAGGATGGCAAGATGCCAGCGCCAACCACAGAGGGAACTAACCACACCCACATCTTGGAACAATGTGGGAAGCTATATCAAAGCTCACCCCCTTCACCTCCCACCTGCCCTCTCTGCACCACCAAGAAGACACTGGGCCCAAGTCAGAGTTCAAACCAGAGATGGAAGGTTCAGGATGGAGTCCAAGGGTGATTCCAAGGACCTCCTAAATTTAACTGTTCCTATCAATCAGGAGATCTGGGCTTACTTGCTCTCCACCTGGCTCGTAGCCTGGTTCAAGGCATCCCTCAGGATGGAGTTCTCCTGCTGCAGACGAGCTAGCTGAGTGTTAGGGCCATTTTCCAGCTGCTCCTGCAGACTCCGAACCTGAAAAGCCAGGAAAAATGTTATCAGTGTGGACCAGGTGAGGCATCTGCCTTCTAAAGGGAGTCAGCTTCGGGGCTGAGATCAGCAAGGACATAGGCCACACCTGGTTTCAGGAAGGCTTTACCTGCTCCATCTAGAGACTGGAAGGGTCCTACAATAAGAGTTCTGAGGACCACAAAGAGGTCCTGTGCCAGGGACCTGAGGGCAAAGTATGCCCCTGTACCAGGTCTCCCAGCCTGGCCCACCCATGTAATGAGCACAAGCCCAGGGCCTCACACGCCTCTGCCCACCTCTACCTCTGTGGTAGCCGGTTCAATGACACAGCTGCAACCCATGGCCTAAGCCAGAAAGAACAGAGGGCAGGTTGCAGAGACAAGAAGCAGGGTTCTGTTTAGAGGGCCATGCTGGAAATGCAACTGCCCAGTGCTGGCTTCTAGCCCGACACTGGAGTATCTCTCTGCAGCATTCAGGCCTCTTGGTTCACAGACCCTCCCTACCTCGACAGTCCTGCTCCAGCCTCCGCAGAAGGCTGAGATCCTGTCCACAGGAGACGTGAACCAGGCCAGCTGCCCTGTGATGTCTCTACACCTCCTGGATTGTTAACCTCAAGCACACACATGGAAGGAACGGGCTATCACATGGAGCAGCTGCTTGCCCCAATTCAACAGCACCCCAAGGCCCCGGCCCTATAACCCACCTTGCCCTGCAGCTGCTGCACCTCCTTCATGTGCTCGTGGTAGCTGGCCTGCATGCGGGCCTGCACTGCCGCGACCTCCTGCTCCCGTGCCACCAGCTGTTTTTTCACCTTGGCTTCCCCAGCTGTTGCCTTGGCCTTTTCCGCAGCTAGTTCCTGAGGTGAGAGGTGGGAGGGACAGGTAAAGAGCCGAGCATTGTCACTGGGAGTCAAGACAGGATTTTGGGGGGGGGGGGGGGAGCGGGCATCAACGTCATCAGATGGAATCAAGACCATCACCACAGGGCCGCAAGGAGGCTGGAGTTGCTGGAGGCGAGACCCGTGAGCTGAGTACTCAGACTGCATTCAGTAGACAGCATCTCAGAAGTTATGAGAGACTCCTGGGAAGCCCAGCTGGTGCCAACGAGGCCAGACCCAGTAATGCCAGGGCTCTCAGGGTGCTGGTGCATGCAGTATGTGAGGCGCATACTCCAGGGACCCACAGACCACTCTGTCCGAACAAGAAGGCCAAGAGCCCTGATGGTAGTGGGTGGGAGACATAGCAGGGCGTTAGTCCTGCCCAGCCCAGGGAAGGGATGCTATGATGCACACTGGATGCAAGGCCTGGGGACCAGCGCCGCAGGAAGGCAGAGGGCAGGCAGGAGGGCTGGTCTGTCACCCCAGAAAGAATGTGGGGTGACAACACAAACAAGGGTCTTTGGCATCATGAGTCCTGGAGTAGGGAGCTCCCTGTCTGCTCCTCCAGCCAGACTAGCAACAGCTTGGCAGGAATACTGTGGGCCCAGCTGGCACCAAGTCTCCCTTGAAAGTTAAGATGCTGCCCCCATCCTGGGCAGTGGACAAGTAGGAAGACCTCAGCCTCCCCAGGCAGAGCCCCCAGTCAAGGGCCAGAGCATCCTCCTGCCAGAGACAAGAGGTTGGGACCAGAGGCCAGGGGAGGTAAGGCTGTGCAATCTGAGATGTCACCAGCTGACAGAATGGCTCCGAGCACACAGCAAGCCCTAGGACCCCTGGGGAGCCACTGGCCCTGGACACAACTGTCCCTTTGAAAGGCCAACAAGAGCAGCCATGTCCAAGTTAAAGAACGCCTCATTAATCTGGAAGTGGGAGGGGCAGCTAACATTGTACTCACTCTGGACGATCCCCGGCTCCTTCCATCGTGAGAATTACCATCCCCATTTCAGAGACCCCCACACTGAGCCTTGGAGACAAGAAACATAACCAAGGCTGCTAGAAGTTGCAAGCTCCCAGGGCAGGGAAGTGGTGAGACCTTGTACCTTGGGTGTGTGTCTCCAGAATTCCCTCGGGACACAGGGAAGGACTTCAGAAGGATTGGGACCATGGAGGCCAGGTAGGGCAGTGGGGACAGCAGTCTCCACAAAAGAGCCAAGCAGACGTCACTTTCTTGGTTGGCCCCTCTTTGTTGGCTATCTCCGACCAGGGCTGTTTCTGGAAGTCAGCAGTCAGGGTGCAGGGCTCCAGGGAGCCCGTGCTCACACAGAGGGCAGCTAGTGAAACCTTTCACAGATCACCCTCCTGTCATCCTCTGCCGGCCACTCTGGCAGGTGCTGAGGTATCTGGGGATGCTTTTCCCTAGCCCAGAGCGGCCCATGTGCAGGGCTCAGGGTCCTAAGACAATCAGATATCAACAGAACTGTCTCTTCCTTTGTCCTGGGCTTTGTGAAAGGACAGAGGAAAAACCATTCTTCCCAGCCCTCCACGGCTTATTTTTCTTCCTCCTGCCTGTCAGAGTCTTAATTCAACTACAAGAGGCAGGCTCAGTGTTGTCACCTGTACCTAGGCTGAGTATAGGCCCTGCACAGTGTGAACTCCTGCCAACAGGGCAGCTACAGTAGGAAGGTCTAAACATGAACACCTCCTGCTCCCCCTACAGCACACCCTCCTTAACTTTCCCCTGGCTTAAAGCCTGATTCCCTCCAGAGCCCTGAGGTCTGGGTAGACAAGAATACGCAGGATGAGGTCTACCTGAGAGTCCTTCAGGACAGAGGCCCAAGAAGAAAGGGCCCCTAGATAAAGTGAGGGAGGACACCAGACCTTTGCCTGAAGCCTGGGAGGATCAGTATGCTGCTCTGCGGTGCCCAAGTCCACTGGTCCTTACTTACAGAGCTTTGACACACTCTGTCAGAGGTGTAATGAGTGTGGGGGCTGCGATCTGACAGATGGTGCCAAAGGTTCTCATGTTGGGTCACACTTTCAACCACAGACTCCCATAAAAACCCTCTTTGTCAACTACATAAACTGCTTTACAGGAATAAAGAAAACATGGGAGGGATGGGGCCCTGAAGATAAATCACAGATCCTTCGAACCTCACCAAACTGTGGAACTCGTAAGTTAAGAAGAACTTAAAACTTTTCCAGTAACTTATATTCTTACATAATGGTCCTCAACAGTGCTGGTCTAAGAGACACACGAATAAAACAAGTACATCAACTCTGCGTAGAATTCTCCAAGGGCTGCTGGGACCCGACTGTGCATAAAATCAGGACGCCGAGCAGAGGAAGTGCTATCTGCCTGAGCCATAATCATTCAGCCACTTACAAGGGAGGACACAGGAGGCTTCCTTTGGGCTGGGAACACAGCACCCTTGGTCCTCATGGCCACACGTGCTCCCAGGTGCCTGCTTTGGCAGGGCTACAGAGAGGTAAGGTGGGCAGAGGGTTTGCTCTCCAGAGGTTCGCAGTCTAACCTCAGAAATGCTAGGAGGGTGCTAAAAGTCTCCAAACAAGGGAGGTAGATCTGAATGTTCAAAGGTAAGGAAGAGGGACTCAGGGTGCAGCTGAGGTGAGGGGAGTAGGAAGAATAGAGGAGGGGGTGGTGTACAAGGAGTAGGCAGAGAGAGCCAGGCATGTGGCCCTTGGTCTGAAGGTAGGAGACACCAGCAGAGTTTAGAGAGAGTCCTCCTGGGACCAGACCTACATGCACAAGCCTGAGAGGACGCCCTGGAGTGAGGTGGAGGCAGGGCCAGAGGGCCGGTGAAGACTCCTCCTTGCCTGGGACCTGCTTACTGGGAGGACAGCAGGTGAACAAAGGGCTTCAGCCCAGGTGCCTCACAGCCCCTGCAGTTAGCAGCAGAAATTCTACTGCTCTGACTGGGGTAGAGGGAGCGGGGGCGGGCCTTGGGATACACTGGAGTTGATGAGGGTATCTAGTGGGATCAGCAGCCTTCCGTCCCAACGTGGAGGCAACAACAGGGAAGGGACAGGCTACTGCTACCACCAGAGGCTGCACCCATCTCCTCTGAACACCCCAAACCCACCCTAAACTAGGGGCAGGTATAAGTAGTAACAGCCAACTAGCTATGCACTCCTATCATATCTTCTTTCACTTGATTTTTATCCAGGGGTCACTGCATTCTCACTGGGATTTCTCTTTGATTAAGAGGGTACAGAAGAATAACTACTCAAAATAAGACCTCTTAACAAGTGGTGAGCTGGTCTGCAGGCTGTCAGGGCAGGGGTGGGCATCTGGTCTGATTTGGAGTATTTGCCAATTTCTGTAAACACCCTTTGTCAGAACTGACATCAAGCCCCAGCATGCTATTACTGAACATGGAGTTTGCAAGAGATGTGCAATTGATTCCACAAGCCAAGAGAGGGGCTCTGGCCAGCCCTGGACTCATACAACCTCACATAAAACGCGAGTGTGGCCAGAGCCGGGAAGATCTGACAGCAGCCCGAATGGACCAAAAGGCTCCTAAGCTCTGACAAGGCCCCTGAAGGCTCAGTCTTTCCCTCTTCTCCTGTGGGTAGTATTTAAAGTGACCACCAAAGGCTCCTCCTTGGCTCCTGCTGTCCCCAGCAAATGGACCTTCCCTTCTGGCTCAGAGCTGCAGCCCTGTACTTAGGACAGAGGTCAGGCTGTCTCCTATCTAATTCCTCATAAGGAATGCGATGGAAGTGTCCCAGAAGGGACATCTTAGAGACTCAGGCCCAAGTCCTCTCAGTATAGACAGACCAGAGGCAGCATGGGGGCTGGGGCTGGGAAGTGCACCATAGCTTTCTGCTGGGAAGCAGAGCAGTACTGCTGTATCCTAGAGGCTCAGCAGGCCAGGCTCCCACCCTGCCCACAAGTACTCCAGGAAGGAGGAGGAGGAGGAAGAGATGGGTGTTTCTCTCAGATGAATGGTGCTGCTCTGCTGCTTCAGCCCATCACTGGGGATGTTCACTGAGCCTGAAGGGTAGGAGCCAGGCTACCAGCCGACAGGAAAGAGATGTCAGAAGCCACTCCAACACTGCCCCACAGGCTTTACTCCAATCTTGGGAAGACACCTGAGGCTGGTTGTGTCCCCTCCTTTCTTGGCATTCCCAGGGAGTGTCGATGAAGACCAGTTATGACCACAGACTGAGGTCTCTAACCCAATGTATGTTGTAGGTGTAATTATAAGTGCTGGGAAGGCAGACGAGCATCTCTCAGAGCCAAAAGGGACTGCTCAAGGTGCCTACTCCCGGCCTGCCTCAAGCTTGTGGGGACGGGAGAGTTGTCACAGCAGCCACACTATCCTGGCCTCATGATTTCAGAGACTGCCGGACAATGGGGAGGGGGCTCACAAAGCTCACTTGGCCGTACCTTGTTTAGTTCCCTCAGCTTGCTTTTGGCAGCGGCCGCATCTTCGTGCTCAGTGGCCAGCAGTTTCTCCTTCTCCTCCAGCTGGCGCTTCAGAATGGCCACGGGGTCACCCTTCTGAGTGGCCTAGAAATGCCACAGAGTATGTTAACAGAGATGGAACAGACATTTCTGGTGTCCTCCCAGAAATCAGGACTTGACCCCAAAAGCAGCAGAGGTTTGAAGAGGTGAGAGCAAGAACTTCCAGATGGGTAAGTTTCCCCCACTTTCTACCCACCCGTCAGGATGTGCAGGCCCAGTACACCAGAGGCTCAGGAGCAGTTCCCAGGAGCCTGAGGTTTCCCACCAGATTGCTTTGATGGCCCTCGAAGAGGCAGTGGGAATGGACCCTTGGCTACTTACTGCCCACCATCAGGAGGTCCCAGATGCTGACTTAGTGAGGAGCTCCCCACCTCTGGATGCTTAGGGTAGGGGCTACCAAGCCTGGTTGTCAGGAGACCCCCAGCACATCTCTAACTACTAAAGAGGGCCACAAAATTTGCCAAAAAATTTACTAAAATTTCTAGTGGTGGAGTGTACCCTGAAGCACTGGTTGGAGAACAACGGGGAGCAGGCCATCACCAGAAACACTGGAGGCACATCGGAGAGGGATATTCTAGCTCATCCAGGGCTCCCTGCAGGGTCCCAAATGCCAGTCCAAAGCAGCTGGGTTCCTGACTCACGTGTGTTATCCCCACACCAGCATCTTTGTCTAGACAGTGAGCATCTCCTGGTGAGTGCAGGGAGATGACTTACCTTGTGCCAGGTGTCCTGGATGACGCCGGCCTTCTCCGATAGGACCTCGAGGAGCTGCTGGGCCTCGCCCTCACTGAACACCATGCTTCCCAGCGTGGAGACCAGCGTCTTGTAGGGCAGGTAGAGAGGACCGTCGGCCTCGAGAGCCACTGTGCAGTAGGAGAGAAGGAGCAGAAACTCAGACTGACACCGAGATGCGGATGCACAGCAAACCCCATCAGAGGGAGAGAATTTCTAGTCAAGGCTGGGTGGACTCGCACTGCCCTGATTTCCTCACAGGCTGGGTGCAGAGAGCATGACCCAGGACACCTCAGATCTGAGAAACGGACTAGACCAAGGCTCCCTGCACAGCCTCCCAAAGTACCCCAAAACGGGTAAGGGGAAACTCCAAGAATAAAGAAAGGCTGTATCTTCTGTGTGGAGGGAATATCCCTCTGTATTGTCAAAATGAGTATAAGCAGAATTAATTAAGCAAAACATGTTTTCCTACAGGTTTTTTTTTTTTTTTAAACTTCCTTCCCTCTTTATCTGGTAAACCAAGTGGTGCCCTGTATGGTTCAGCAAGGCTCCCACACTACCAGTGAGAAGCCTCTTGCCTGAGGATCCACCACTCACCAGTAACACAAATCCCCTCAGCCTCACCACCCTACAGAGAATGGGAGGAAAAGGACTCTCTTCTCCAAGGCATCCCCAACTTTCTCTGTGGTCCCACTGCTAGGTGCAACTGTTTCAGCCCCCGTAACCCTTCACCCCGCCACCCGTCCCCACCCAGTGACACTCAAGCACACCAGGCTTTAAGAGAGGGAAGGCTATCAGTCCACAGTGGCAGTCTGGAGACTAGAGTCAGTCACCAACAGCCATCACTACTGAAAGTTCCCCAACTTTCTTTTCTCTCACGAGCTCTACCACAGCCTGAATGCAACAGAGGGTGCACCTCTCCTGGCCAGAGCCCATCAGCCACACCTGCAGTTTCTCCTGCTATGGACCAACTCTGCTCTTGGCCACAGACATCTGACAGCTCAGATTCCAGCTACAACAAGGTAAAGAGGTTGCTGCAGGGCCTTCATGCCCACCCCACTGAGATAAGGGTAGAGAACGGGTAAGGATTCCATGGCAACCCTAAATTTTCTAGCTTGTCACAATATTTCAAATTCCTAGTCACAATATTTTCATTACAAGTCAAAGTAAGTTACCTGAATAAAGAGAGTGTGGGGTGTGAGCAAGCTTTTTGCTAGGAACACCTTAATTTTGTCAATTTTTAACCTGGTGAAGCTTGGAAGATTAAAAATAACCAGGTTGATTATGAAGGTCTAGAGACCAACAGGGTATCATCCTCAGCTTGCTTTCTTCCCAGTGAAATATGTATCTCTACCTACCTCTCCAAAAAGAACAAAGCCCAAAGACACTAAGTCAATTCTGACTCTAACAACTTTACAGTGCACAGTAGAACTTCCCCATGGGATCACCAAGGCTGTCATCTTTACGGAAACACTATACAGGGCCGCTATGAGCCAGAATTGACTGGTCAACACATACCTCAGTCTCTACACTTCTGAAGGCCAGGCTTCCGGCTCTCTAACCCTTCCATGAAGAATTCTGCATTCTTTTATTCCATACCATGCCAAAATAGGCAGTCGTGGCACCCGAGAAGAACTCAAATTATATTGCTTTTAAATATTGAGTTTGAGGAACAAAAAAGAAGTCTGATGGGGCAAGATTTGTGGGGTGGATGGGGTAAAGTTTCCTAGGTACACTGTTGTAACTGAAAAAGATTCCTCAATGCAACTTTCTTGCCCTTTTTCAACCAATGCAGTTTTCATTTTTCTTAAAATTTCTCCCTAATAAACTCTGTGATTATGTCCTTTGAGAAAATCCATGAAGATTGTTGTTGTTAAGTACTGTGGAGTTGGTTCCGACTCATAGTGATCCTGTATAGGGTTTCCGAGGCTGTAAATCTTTACGGGAGCAGAAAGCCTCATCCTTCTCCCACGGAACAGCTGGTAGTTTCAAACTGCTGACCTTGAGGTTCGCAGCCCGATTCGTAACCACTACGCTACCAGAGCTCCCACTGGAATTATTGTTTTGGCTGTTAAGTGCCATCGAGTTGGTTCTGACCCATTGCGACCCTATATAGTTTCTAAGGAGCGGCTGGTGAGCTTGAACCAGAGATCTTGCAATTCAAACAGACCTTGCAGTCCAGTGCATTAACTCACAGCGCCACACCAGGACTCCCCAGTGGAATAACCGCCCCACCCTCCCCCCGGCCAAAGTCACTTTCTGAGCTGACCTCCCTGGCCTTGAATTTAACTGATCCAGCAGATCCCCTCAGAAGCCATTGTTTTGATTGGACTTTTCTCTCTGGATTGTATTGATAAATCTAAGACTTGTCCCTGGTTACAAATCATTCCATAAAATCATCTTCTTTAGCTTCGAACTACCTTAAAAGACCGATGGAAAGATCAGCTCTTTGAGCTAACTAATCTTCATGCAACACTGCTGGCACCCATCAAGCTGAAAGCTTGCTGAGGCCAAGATGTTCACTTAAAATTGACAATGCCAAACTCAAATGTGAGATTCAACGTCAGTAGCTATGGCATCAAAGGTAATTCTCTGACCTTCGCCCACCTGCTTCTGACTTCAAGTCAGTTTCATTTGTTGAAGATGATGGTTTTCCCTCCCTTGGCTCATCTTTGAGATCTTCCCATCCTTCCTTAAAATACTTGGTCCATCTAAAAATGCTTTTATATCTGTGGGGTATTCCTGGAACTTCTTACAAAGCTTCAATGATTTGAGTTTTGTTAAAAATTTGATTATTAACTCTGACCACAAAACAGTATCTTTTTCTTTTTCTTTTTTTTTTTTTTTTGCCCCTGCAGGCACCCTAAGGAAACTAAGCCATGTGTATTACTGAGAACTTGTCTGCAGCGATTCACAGATCTCAGAGACATGTTTAAATTTTAAATCCATTGTGTTTGGAATAAACCTGTGCATGAGTGAATTAGACACCTAGTTAAAGTACTTTTCCACTTGGTCTCACATATAATAATTCTTATTGCTGTTGTTAAATGCCATCCAGTCTGCTCTGACTCATGGCAACTTTATATATAACAAAACAAACTGATGCCTTATCCTGCACTGTGCCTTCCGGATTGTTGGTACAAATCCATTAATATATAACACACATATATTACATTAAAGTGCTGTTAAGTTGGTACCAACTCATATCTACCCTGTATAGGGTTTCCAAGGAGTGGCTGAGCCGTGAGTTTGAACTGCTAATCATGTGGTTCAAAGCAATCTTTCAGTCCAGTGGTTATCCTACAGTGCTACACCAGGACTTAAATTAATATATAGAGAGCATTTAACATATAAATAATTTTAATAGCAAACTTATGTACAGTATAGAAAATTCTCAGTACAGCTAAACCAAAAGAGCACACACACCTCTGCAAGTCCACCGTATGAAGAAAGGCTTCTGGCTCTGCAGACATGCACTGATGGCTATCCTCACCCAGAAAGGGGGATCCATTAAAGACACTGCTGGAGTTAGAAGTTGGACCCCTCTCTCCCAAACCCCCTGTCCACTTTCCTTTCCTAACTCAGAAGGGTCCATCCCTGTACTGTGCAATGCTGGTCACAGGTGGCTACTAGGCAATTGGAATGTGGCCAGCGAGAGACTATACACTGGCCTTCAATGACTTGGTATGAAAAAAAGAGAATGTAAAATATATGTAAGCACTCTTCATACTCTGTATATGAGTAATACATGTGGCTTGCCTTGTATTTGAACTCAGATAGGTTCATTTGCAGGCCAGGCACCCCAAACATGCAATCCCACCCCCTAGTGGAGGCCAGTTAGGGCTCGGCTTCTCTGGAGCTCTCCCCTGCCCAGCTCTCCTGGGCCCAGGCACCAGTTCACTGCTGGAAAGGAGACAATGGGAGTACAGCTAAGAATATCTTCACAAATGGGCTTCCCTCCTGGAGCAGGGGGGAGCCGGCCCTGAGACGCTGCCTAGCTACAGAAATAGTTCAGAACACATTCTATGAGAGTGCCATTCCAAAAAACACGTATTAAAGTTTTCTAATGTGTCGGAAGAAGTGCAGCCAGAATACTCCTTTAGAAGCAAGGATGGAGAGATATTGTCTCACGTTCTTAGGACACATTATCAGGAGGGACCAGTCCCTGGAGATTATCATGCCTGGTCAGCAAAGAAGAGGAAACTCTTCAATGAGATACACACAGTGGCTGAAACACTGAGCTCAAACATAGGAGGACTCTGAGGGAAGTGGAGCAGTGTTCTGTCCTGCAGAGGGTAGCTATGAGTCACAAATGACTCCTGACAACAATGTTAATTATGTATTAAAACTTTCTAATGTAACTATAGTAAGTGTAGAAGCTATCTTTTACTACAAAGTAGAAAACACATGTAACACCAGCTATGCATGGCAACGTTTAATACTCTACCCACCCCTCAGTAGCTCTGGTAGCATAGTGGTTACGAATTAGGCTGCGAACCTTAAGGTCAGCAGTTCGAAACTACTAGCTGTTCTGCTGGAGAAAGATGAGGCTTTCTGCTCCCGTTAAGATTTACAGCCTCGGAAACCTTGTACAGGGTCACTATGAGTCGACAATGACTCCACAGCACATAGCAACAACAACAACATCAGTGAAGTCCCCATCCCTCTGGAAGCTTATCCAGTTATTCTTAGAATTATTTTTAAAGAGCCATAACTGGGCAAAACATTTCCCAGTGACTCTTTAAGTAAGAAATGCACCACCTCTATTTTCCCCAAATCAGGGACAACAAAACCAAAAGACAAACAGGAACAGGAACGAGAAGTTCTGGATCCTTGTGAGTTACACTGACTCCGAGTTCAGGATCCTTGCATTGAAGACTGGCCTGAGGAAGAGCCTGTTCTCGGAGCTGACACGCTGACTCCACAACCAGCAAACTCTCACCAAGAGGCACACCCTGCGTGTCTTCCATGGGCAAATCCCCCAGGACTCCAGTAATCATTGCTACCGTGAACTCGTAAGGCACTAAAATAGACTTGTCAAAGACTCAACATTTAATCTGTTAAACCACAAACTTCAGAAAGGCCACTATGCAATCAGCTTACTAAGGGTTCCTCCTTGC